GAAAAGAGACGACATAAAACAAAATCATTCCCTTAGTTTGGCTTTCGAGCCTTATTCTCCTATTCATCCTAGAAAACCAGAAATAAACACTCGATTAAGCTTAGTTTTACATTTAACAGTTCTAGAATGTCATAAACTTTTCTGCTTAAAGGATCAATCAATTCGTTCTTTAGATTTACCTGTAAATTAAGCAGCTGACTCTGTAAAAAAAAAAAAAACTCAAGAATGTAATATCTAGCTCACTGTTTCTAAGAAGCAGGGAAACCACATATTACATCAGTTTGCTGCTTTCAAGGTCAATACTAAGCTCAGGTGGTCCTCACTACATGACTCAGTTGCAAGATAAAGACACCACTTCCCCGGGTAAGCTTTGTCCAGTGCTTTTAATCACAAGTGGGTCAAGTTGCCCAGTTATCCATTGTGTCCGTCTCTGTAATGAAGGCTGCCCTCGGTTTGCTTGAAACGTCATGAATATACCACCCCAGCCCCACCTTCCTCCCCCCACGAGAAAACCTTAAACTCACCAAAATGATCTTATTAGATGTTTCTAGAAATGTGCTGTAAGAATAGCCTTTTAAAAACCTCATAATAACATTAAAAAAAAGAGATAGTCTTTTCTTCACGTTTACTTGGTTGTCCAGAAAATCTATATTCCAGGAAATAATGATTTTCTGTCTAAATGTTAAATGTATAAATAAGCTGAGATTGCTTTCACATACTAACCAATTGGGAAAAAGATTCCAGTCTACTAGCATGTGTTTAAATGGTCAGAAAGCACCTTGAAATGTAAAATTAATGGTGCTTTACTCTCAGTTTCTATGTGAGTAGTGCATAAGTACGTAGAACTGAACTACCCGTCTGGTATAACCATACAACGCTACATTGTTCTGTGTATATGTGAATGTTTCGGTTTCATTTGTCAGCAAAAGCTTGTTTACCCAGCTTCCTGTTATTAATTATGGGAAACAGGTTTTCTGCAAATATGCTGGAGACTCTTAACTCTTGTCCAGACACTTCAAGGCAAAATGTTGATAATTCCTTTAATGTTTGTACAAAGCCGGAAACTGAGTTAAAATACATTGTTGCCTCACATAGCTTGAAACTTCTTATCTCTCACAGAGAAAAAGAAAAAGAAAGAAAGAAAAAAAGAAAAAGAAAGAAAGAAAAAAAGAAAAAAAAAGGCATCCCTATTATTAGACGCTTAGATAACAGACTTGGATACTTTCTTCATCTGTCACAATGATTAGTTAACAGATCACAGTATGAATTCTGAACTCTAAGAGCCTGCAAACTTAAGTCACAAACATTAACTCATAGTAAAGTGATGAAAAACAATAAGATATATTCTAATGTAAGTGTATCCACACGGAGATAAAAATACCAACCTGATTATTGGTGTATTAAGAAGCTTTTCATATAGACACATCTGGTCAGTCCATCTAACTCTCTCTTTCTCTTTAAAATGGGAACAAATACACATGCATGCATTAAAATCATAAAGCAGCCAAAACATCTGCAAGTTTGAGAAAAAGTGAAATGGTTATGGAGGGAAATCCAGATTAAAAAAATGCAGATGTTTAATTGGGCTGTCAGTTTTGTTACAAGGAAGTGAGGCAGAAAGAACCAGCAGCCAGTGGTGGAAAACTAAAATAGTTTCATGAGCCATTGCCAAGCTAAGAGCGATGAAATCAGTAACACAATATGGACAAGGGCTTTCTAAACTGAGGTCTGAAAATGTTACTATGTGCAATTATGTGCACTAGCCATTTCCAAAAAATCTTTTCATTAAAGCACAATAAAAGTTTGTCAGACTCTCCCCCCTCTCTGTTTGGTCATTAACATGGGGCAGTTATTCGGGGTTTGGCTTTCATCAGTGACAAGCTCTTCCCCCACCTCCTCACCCCCTCTCTAAGACCCTCTAATGCTGCTGAGTGGCCAGAAATTACAGATGCAGGAGAAGCTGACAAATGACTGCCAGGCCCCTCCCCCAGTGCCTCGACAGTCAAAGCTCCTGCCAGAACATGCCAGAGAGCTGTGCGCCCAGAGACAAAGACACAAAGATTCCATTTTCTCCGTGAAAATAGATTTCATGTGTAAAACACTAGTGAGAAAAATTGAAAGCTGACACATATGTGCAATTTCAGCGAGGCAGGGGCTGAATATTTCAGGAAGATTGAAATTACATTTGATTACATCAAAAGATTAACGAATGTTCTTTAACCTAAAGTCTTTTCAGTCTGTAAAAAGACATTCAGCGGCAAGATATTTTGTTTTCTGTCAGGCTGAAGCACATGGGTTAGAAGGAAAAGAATCGGGAGCACAAGCAGAGAGGCCGCTGATTACATACTACTGTTGCAGGAAGAATTAACACTGGTTCACATCATGGGGTCTACAAAATAAGGGGGGAACATTTATAAAAAAACCTATTGAATCAAAGGGTTCAGAAAGATTACATTAAATCCTTATAAGTATGCTTCCTATAAAAAGAATCTCCTCCCAGCTGCCCCAGGGTATCATTACTGAAGAGGCAGTGACTGGTTTATTAGAGATTCAAACCTTGGCATCTGAGCCTTGCCAAGGTTGCAAGTTTTAGCTTGTGAGCCCAAGGCCTTTAGCTTCCACAGCCCCTTCTACTGGCATCTAACAGGGAGGACGATGTCTGGTTGGCCTCCGCGCCACACCAGGCAGTCTGTAGGCGCAGAGGCAAGGACTGGGAGACAAAGAAAAATCAGCATTTCCTAAGGAAGAGCATGCTTTTCTTCCTACCTAAATTCGAGCATGCCAGGATAACTTCTAGAGGAGAAAAGATAAATATATGATAAAAGAATAGCAATATAGAATGAGTTAGGGAATTATGTCATAACATATTTTCAAGTAAGATACACGGAGAGAGAGACAGAGAGAGAGAAGAAAAGAGATGGGAAGAGGGCTAAAGAGGGACAAGGAGAAGGAGACAGAAGTTTTAAGTTTTAATTTTAAATAGTCTGTGGATGGAAGGGGAGAGCTCCTTTCAGCTGTCTCCATAAGATTTTTAACTTGGTGCAGTGTTTGTGTTTCCTTCATTTTGTATTCTATGCAATGCAAATTCAACTGCATGTGAAAAGTGGCTGTGAGGCCACCTTTAAACAGGAGAATTCTAAAAGAACTGTTACACTGGCATTTTGATAGGTTTTCTGTTACTCAAATGCCCTTAGTCTGGGCTTTGACAGCTAAATTGAAACCATTAGTAGAAACTTCTATTTCAAATTGAGCTTGTTTATGTCCCCAAATCCATTCAACAACACTCTTCTGGATACAGCAGCTCGCCTTGTAGAAAACTTAGAATGGGCTTAATGTATTTTAGAAAGTGTTAGACCATTATCAGGTTAAAATATAATTAATAGTAGCTGTCAGGGGTAATAGACCAAGAAATTACACTGGGAATATTTTAATGAAAAAAAGAAAAAAGTTTTAGCACAAGTTAAAAAAAAAAATCTCTGCGTAGGTCAACAGAGAACATATTTTGTATTCTCCCAACCTCTTCTGAGATCCCACAATTCTGAAATATCTTTAGTCAACTGGAGTATCAGAGAGAGAAAAGAGAATAACAAATTACGTCATAATCTAGCCAGAGATGACTGGGAGGAAAATTGGAATATTAGGTAGACCTCAAGACCATTACAACGTTTTATTCAAACTCCAATTCCCACAACAATATTAATGTTAAGTTGCATTTCAGCCCTCCTTTCAAATGTAATCAGAATACTATACAGCATTTTAAATAAGACATTTATAACATTAAATAATGAAATTGATATTTCACTTGAGGCATTAAAAACACTCGGTCTCAGTGCTTAAAGCGTTCATCTATTTACCATCAAAAGAAAGCCTGGTGGAGCACTAGCCTGGGAGTTTGGTGAACGTAACTTTTTATCCCTACTCAACAACCACTCCAATCTCAGTGAGTCTCTGAGCCTCAGTTTCCCCAATTTTGTCAATTTTTAAAAACCATATGGGGATCAACCATCAAAGGCAGCATTGGTTCCAAAATGAGAACATGTGGGGGAAATATTTTTGTTTTGTTTTGAAACTTTAAAGTTTAACATGAAGAGCAGTCCAACGTCACTAAGAAAGATAGGAAGCCCCCGGGGAATTCAGCGAAAGAAATCAGTCGAAAGCTAAGGAGTTACTGCACCACAGACCATTTGATTGCTGTATTTTTTCACTTTTCAGAATGTCTCAACATTTTATAACATTCAACTGGTACTCTGAGATTTTAAATTTCTTGAAATATCTGGCATATGTGTGTATATTAACTCTCCCTGGCTTGTTGATCGTGTTACTGCTAAGTGGAGGGTACGCAGAATAGCCGAGTGAACTGAAACAACATCCAGGAAATATGGGCAATATGACTGCCCCCTGCACACTACCAAGAAAAAATAAAAGAAACACATTCAGCCTAGCTGAAAGGGAAACACCACATTACTTAATTGCACTCGATATTGTCTTATTTGCAAATTCAACTATTATCATACTAAAAAAATGATATAAAGATAGCATAGGATAATTTCAAGATATAAATTAGTTTGTTCAGAGAAATTAGATGATGGGGGAAAAAGGAAATATATTTAAGATATTTGGGAAGAAAACCTAAATTTCATAATAACTGTACCAATATTTTTTTTTAAAAAAATTTTTTACACACTAGGGAAGCATCCAAAGAAAAACTAATCTTTATAATTAATTAGCCTACTGGAGGGAGCCAAGACTAGTTAGTTTCTCTTTTCAGGGGTCTCTGATTTTAGACTAGGCTTATTTTAGGGAAAAGAAAGAAATAAAACAATGTTTTCTGAGACTAAACTAGTAGCCCTAGGAAAGGGGAAATTTAGGATGTAAAAAGTTGGCAGCTTCCTACTGATTGTTGGCCTGGCAAAGGTCCCCGTAAGAGGATAAAAATGGCTTTTAGCTGATTTGCTTAACATGGCCGAGTTTCACATAAAATCTCTTTTTGTTTTCCACAGGGATTTGGCAAAACTACCAACCAACACATCAATGAAGAAAACTGAAGGCAGTTTGGTCTACATCTTGGATGACAGTTCCACTAAGGCTGAAGAAGCATGTCAGGTCTCCAAAGAAGTAGAGAGCTTGGTTAGTTGTACCCGAAAATTAGGACTTGATTAAGGTATGCCATTTCTTTGGGTTCAATCGAAACGTTTTGCTTTTTCTGTTGCAGAGAATTTCTTTTGCCCTGCCCCCCGCCCCTTCCTTTTCTTCCTCTCTTTAACAGATGTCTTTCACAATGGATGTTGTTTACTGTCCTTTCATCAAATATATGCCACATCACTTGGGCAACCCAGCAGGCAGGGCACCTAAATACACATTAGAGGAGACTGACATCCTCGAGACTCTTTGACTGTATCATCAGGGCAGTTATAATAAGCATCTTGGTGCCCCTGAATGCAATGCTGGATTCAAATAATAGCTTTCATCTTCACTCTTTTTAAATACAGAAGTAAACCTTGAAGCCCTTTGAAGGACCTAACCAAGCAACACACATGTGAAAATAGATCAGTAAAGCTTTGCGAAACATCCTTATGTACAATCTGTAAAGTATCTTAACATTTTTTTCAAGAAAGACCTCCAGGTAAACCATGGCTTTTAATAAGACACATGGCAATCTCAGTTACGAGAATCATCATAGAAGTGACCCATGTGCTATTTTACATGCCCAGCAGGATACTTTTTTATTCCCATCAAGAGTTTCCAAAGCTGTCTACTGTTGTTTGTGTGTAAAACATATTTAAGTGCTGCACTAATTAAAAACAAAACAAAACAAACAAAAACAACAACAACAACGACAACAACCTTGTCAAGCGGTCAGACAGACTGGAACTAGAGAATTATAGGTAAGAGGGATAAAATGAAAGGTTGAAAGCTATAATTTCTATTTCTGTGGTGGCAACTGAATTAGCTGTTGGAGTCAGGCAATTTCAAGATATGGCTACTTAAGAGCAGAGTCTGGAAAGAAAACACTTCAGATATTACAGTAAAAAGGACCCTGGTTTTGAAGATGTTGGACATGGTTGGTGGTGGATTCCTTGCTGGAATCCCCGTTCCCAGTTCATCTCTATTTCCCACCATATCTATGTCTCCCACTTTCCACTCGATCTCATTCCTGCCTTTGACAATTCCAAATATTATTTTCCTTTCTTCCATTTCCTTAGCTTTTATCCCTTTTTTTTTTTTTAATTCCAGCTACAGACTAGCTTATTTATGAGCATATTGTGACTGTAGATTTCAGAAAAAAACTCCCCCTGCCCAGTGGTTTTTAAGAAAATTGGCAGATAGAGAAATTGGAAGAATGAATTTTAATAGTAACAAGATCACCTCTAAAATGTTAAGAAATATAGGTGTTTGCCCAGTTTACGTAATATTCACTATACTCTTGGGAGTTTCGATTCTTAGTATGACTTTATCCTTATATTTTCATTGGGATTAGCAGAATCATACAGCTGGAAGAAAGCATGGAAACTGTAATACAACTCTCATATTCAGATGAAAAAAATGAAGGCCAGAAAATAATGTGTCCTAACTCATTCAGCTAGCCTATAAGTGTCGTTGGTTTAATTATGGTTTTGCATATATTTGGACAAAGAAACTGTTTTCTTAGAAAGTGGTTAGAAATGTTTGAGGAAAGATATAATCATCAAACTGCATGCACAGTCAAATGTAACTATAATTCAACGTAGGCAAGAATGTTCTTTGAAATTGCTTGGGGATAATATTCCTGTAGAAAAATATATCTGAAAATATGCTAGTTGCTTATTTCAAGGGCTAATATACCTTCTGACATATGTGTATGTATAAAGTAAGTAAGCTGACTTAAATTCTATGTACACATATTATTTTTATATGCAAATACAATCCCCATTTAACTTTTTTAATAATTTGTTTATTTCTTTCTTACTGTTCTGTAGTTTCAACCAGAGCAAAAAGATCTGCCCAGAGAAAAAGTGAGCTAGTTCATAAATTGTGTTGGAAATTCAGAAGTTCTTTTCTTATTGCTAGCATTGTACTTAAAAAATATGTATTGAAAAACATTCTCTCTTCTCGTTTGTGAGTATTCCCATAAGAACCGGCAGAGTTAAGAATAGGGAGGACATCCATAGTAAAGAGCTAAACCCTGTTATTAGAGGCATTATGTGTCATTCTATAGAAAATATCTAGCTTGTCTATGAAGATATAATTTAAAAACCAAAATATTAAAAATACCAATGAATATGTTTAGGAAAGCAAGTTTTACAATTTTTAATTATACTTCTAAACCAACTTTGTAGCTTTTCTAGGAATATCAACCAAATCTAAATGACAAATATTCACTCAAACTAATATTTAAAACATTATACAGAAATGTGTGTGGTGATGTTACTGGAAATGAGTATTTTGGCAAATTAAATAAGTAGAAAGTTTTAGCTCCAAAAAAAGCTTGTCACGTTGTGTTAAGTTTAACAATACAAGTTTTAGATATATTTAAGAACTCATAATTTGGTAACTTTCTAGTTCTAAGCATATTTTGATGCAAACAATTAAAAATGCCATCTCTTCAGTTTAAAATGAACATTTTGATAAATAGTAATACTTACGTGGTTCTCAATTACCACGTCAAATGCTACTTGCTACTTATCAGGGAATACGTTTTAGTCCCAAAACATTGAGAACATATCTAAGTGAATTAGACTTAAAAAAGAACTAATCATTTTGTGGCATTTTGCATATTTAATTTTGATTTGTGTTTTAGGCTCTCGAAAGTCAGTTTAGATAGCATCAAGATCTGTCTCTATTATTTTCATAATTTAAATAATAATAGCGAAATGATCTCCGTTGCTGTCGAGTTAATTCCGACTCATAGTGACCCTGTAGACAGAGTAGAACTGCCCCATAGGGGTTACAAGGAGCGGCTGGTGGATTCAAAGTGCCGACCTTTTGTTAGCAGGTGAGCTCTTAACCACTGCACCACCAGGGCTCTATCAAATTGGTCTGGCACTATAATACAATGAATGAAGCCTTATGGAAGAGTTGTATTCCCTTAGCCAAAATTGGGGCAAAATATCCCCAGATGAGAATCACTATAATTATTTTTTTTACCTAGTACTTTTGTTGACTCATCCGTAACAGTTGGGTTTGATATTTGCTGTTTGATGCTATTTGAAGAGACCTATGGCTAATATCAGTTTGTAGATGTGGTTGTGTGCATTCTTAATGAAGAGATCCATGATCAAACATGGTAGAGATAATTAGCCTTCATGTCAAACTGCCTCTCCTAGAACCCTAAGGGACAGAGAGTGCAGCTGTGTATCACCTGCCTAAATTCTGCAGATAATGCTGGTGAAGCAACTCAATGAAAATTCCTATCATCAGATTTTTTTTACTGATATATTTTGCTATATGAAAATTATCCCCAATTTGCTATTTATATTGTCAGATACATGATATATGCACAGCAACTTGTGTCCATTGTTAACTTTTATGTTGCACAATTATACTAAATTTTGAATAGCATCTTTAGCCAGAGAAGCCTAGAAACATCCTTTGGCTAACCAAGAAAAAAGTCATACACTAAAGAAAACGTTTTCAGACCTATCTTAGGAGTTGTTGGAAGGCAGAATGAAAGATGTTCTTTGATCAAAAATGTATTTTGTTCAGAAACTGGGCCACGCTTTGGTATTTTGTCACCTAATTTTCAATCATGAAGTAAAGTTAGAAAGAGGTGAAATACAAATAAATGCCTTGTTAGGAGCAGTAACTTTATAGATAGTGTAGTCACTACTTGTTTTAGCAAGATGCAGTCCTATTTCAAGTAACACATAGCACCTTGTTTTTCAGAAAAAGAAGTTGAAAAACAAAGCTGAACATTCACAGGAGGCCATGTGCCACCAGACTCAAAATGCCAATGCAAAAATGTTACCTCATAAAAAGGGATTCAATGCTGCGCTGTAATAATTAGCCGTATTTTGTGCACTGAGAAGGAAAACTCTCCCCAAGGCTTGAGGGCTGGGGTGAAAGTAGAGATCCGGAGTATAAGAAAAGGAAAGTTCATTCATGTTCCAGGGTTATACAGCTATGATTGCAGGTGTTGATTTTTCAAGTGGGTAACATGGAAATTAGAACAACTACGGGCAACTTACATCAACTAGATAATGTTCTATTTTTTTATTTACTTTTCCTCTATATTGGGATTTCTCCACAGTGGTACTATTGGCATATTGGACCAGATGATTTTTTGTTTTGAGGTCTTCCCTGTGCATTGTAGGATTTTTAGCAGCCTTCCTGGCCTCTATCTATTACTTGCTAGTAGTACCCCTTCCGCACCCAGTTGTAACCATCAAAAACGTCTCCAGACATTGCTAAATGTCTCCTGGGGGCAAGATGGCCCCTGACTGGGAATCACTGTTCTAGATATTTTTAGTTTCTTCTCTTATTTCTGTGCAAAATGAGTTGTGTTGGTCTCTTGTACTAACTTTAATAGAAATTTTGCCTAGAGACTCTTATATACTAAGTGAAGAAAAACTCTGTAATGCAAATTTCTGCAGAATTAAAAAAAAAAAAAATTAGAATCCCAATAGTACATTTGTCATTTGGAATATTTACTCGATTATGTGTGAATTTTAGGGGATACTGAACGTAGGTTCATACTTTGTGCCGTATTGGAAAACTTGTGATGTAGATCAGGCAAATTAATGCAAAAAGCGGACATGAAAATGTTTTCCTGTGTATTATAGTTAAATATAGTACTATGTTTTCAAAGGTAACTTTTTTACAGCAGACAACAAAATAAGAGCCTACTAGAATGATTCTATGTGGAAGTAAATGATTATAGCAGAAGAGTGTCAGCCTGCATTATCCTCTTCCATAAATGTTGGCTTTATTCAAGTATCAAAGCACAACTTTTCTGAGCCTGCACATAAAATATTGAGAATAAAAGGAAAATTCCACAGAGAACCTGGGAAATAATCATTAAAATAGGCTGATAACCATATCTCTAAAATACGGACTGTCAAGTCTTCCTTTTTTTTTTCTTTTTTAACTATCAACAGTAAGATGGTAGAGAAGCCATTAACTTTGTGTGTCTGGTTTTTTTCTTGTTGTTGTTGTTTGTTTTTATTTTTGGTGGAGATATATTGA